CCCTCCGGGGGGTCGGTTTGTTCCCTCTGCACTTAGCAGACACCCTCATAATAGCTGTAGGGGGGGTGACTTTTCCAAGCAATTGTATTTTCCCCCTCTTGCAATGCAACGGCTTTTGGGATGGTGTGGACTAGAAAGGCCTTGAAGACCTGCTTGCTATCAAAGGGCTGCACCTGGTGGCAATAAAAGCTGCTAGGATTGGGGTGGGTGTGTGTGTACATATATATAGGTCAGCTAGGGATGTGCAGGCCTTACAAAATCCATTCTATGCATGGATCATTCCACTGATCATCCGAATTCTTCTGTTTGCTGCTCTGTTCACAGATGGAATCAGAAGCAGTGTGAATGTGTTTGCGCACAATTCACACTCCACCCAAAGTTCACACATCTCCAAAAGGCTCCAGATCGAAACAGGCTGCCCTACACCACAGGGCAGCTGCTGCCCAGACTTCCCGGAGTTTTCCTTGGCCCCAGCAGGAGAGGGCGTGGAGGAGCCCAGGCCCTTCCACACACAGAGTGGGGACTCCGCTGCAGGACGGCCCCTTCGCCCGAGCCGCGGGAGGGGGCCTCATCCCGGGGCCAGCTGAACGGCTCTGCTGCCTGGCCCCGTCTCCCCTCGGAAGGCCAACCCTGAGAGCCGAGGGCCCGTCCGGCCCTCTGGGGGCCCTCGATAGCCACGCCCCCTTTGCTGGCCCCGCCCACGTGCAGGTCATCCTTATCCGTTCAGGTTGCTTTGGGATTGCTTTTGGCAATGCAGATATGCCATTATTATCCATCATAACTAGAACAGGATTAAGCAAGCACAACAGTGACGACGTCTTCTTGGAAAGAGTCTCTCCAGTCCTCCACCAGAGCAAGGTTCCCCATGCTAGCTGCCTGCAGTGTGGCGGTTCAGAGCCCGCGGCTCCTGAGCTCTGCTTTGCAGGCTTTGCTTCGACTCATCAAAAAGCAAAAGGACGGTTGGCTTTCTTGGCTTCTTCTTCTAATTAGCTCGACAGCTGCTTTTTATCATCTGATTTTATGAGCCTGGTTTTGTAACTTGACTGCATTTGACTGGCTTGTGTGTCCCGCATGAGGGCCGATGAATCGAGAGAAAATGGCAGTGCCGAAAATTAGAAGACGTGCTTAAAAAGTATAAACCGCAGTTCAGGGCAGATGGGCAGAAGCTGGAGAGGGAAGGGGGGAAGAAGCTGTGTGTGAGCCAGCCAGAGAGGGGCGAAGTCGCGCGTTGCCACGGAGGGGGACCCGGCCCAGGATCGGCGGCTGGCCAGTCCGGCGTCTCCGGGATCGGCTTTGCCCCCTCGCTGAGCTGCTTTTGGGGTTCCTGGGGGGCGGGTGCACGGGCGGCAGCCCAGCGACCCACAACAAAAGTCCAGCGGCTACGTCGCCTTCTGTTACACCGTAGGGTGCCATTCTGGGCTGCGAATCTGGGTTCAAGGCCCTCACTCAGCTCACTGCGTGGCCATCATCGATACCCTGCCTAGCCTACCTTTCAGGGTCGTTGGGAGGATACAGTGGGGAGGAGAAGGCAGACAGAAAAAGGTGCTACGGATCTCATAACTGCAGAGCTGCAGGACTTGGCTCTGTCCAGAATGCCCTTCGGGAAATGAAAATGGAAACAGGCCCAGGGCAGAAGCGCCGTGCGACTGGCTCCGGATCGGCTTTCCAGGGCCTGGAGTGTCTGTAGGTGCCAGTGCCAGGCGGTCTCCCCCCAGCTTTATTGCTTTGCAGGGGGGAAATTTTTAAGTGTGTTTGAGGCTGGGAAGGAAAGGGCTAATTTTTTCCTTCTCCCATTTGGCAAGGCCTCCTCCCTGCCCTCCCCCCCCCATCCCCATATTCCTTTGTGTGGCAGTTAAGCTCTGGAAAAAAGCCTTGCCCCATTGCTTTAGGGTGATCTGATCTGGGTGCAAATGAGCCACAGAATGTGTTTTATGTGAAATGATTTAGGTGACAAATGAATTAACTGGGGTTTGCTTTTCTTTTGTGAATTGCCTCTAGCAAAGTTTGCGTTCTGACTATTTGGTCTGAATTCCCATTCCCCATTCAAATTCTTTACAATGATGAACCTCGCACGCTTATTTCTATATTTCCATATATAGATATATAAACGAGCACAAGCAAATTTTTGAGGTCTGTGTCCCATGGGCCTGAGCCGCACATCTTTTAGGAGCCTAGCAACAGCCTGGGAGAGCTGGTGCCAAGCCTTTGGTCTACGGTCATTGTGGAGGCAACTATTCTCTTGAGCATAGTCTGCTGAGAAAAGGGATCGGGACCCACCCTACTTAAAGGTGACTTCATTTTTCATCTTCCCTCCCCACCGCCTCTTCCTTGCATGCCATTCTCCTTTAGATTGTAAACCTATGGGCAGATACCACCTTGTTTTCTCTGCTTGGTACAGGCTGGTCTGGGGCTCTTTCTTGGCCCGGGAACAGCATTTCCTGTTTGAAAAGGAAACAGTCGATGCATTGAGTCCAGGAGGGTGCCTTTGGCGGACCCAGATTCTCTGAGACGCTGCTGGGACAGAGTTGGGCCGGCGAGGAGGGTGGCCTCCATGGGGGCCAGCAGCACAGGTATACTCTCCGTCATCCGAGGCACAGGCTGAAGACTGGCTCCCAGCTGGCACTGAAGCTGCATCCCACCTTTGGCGCAAGGGAAGGCTGCCAGGATGTCCCTGGCATGTCAAGGTGCTCAGCGCCCTCTCAGGGTCTCCTGGGAAAGAGGAAGACCTCACATTCAGAAACAAAAGCAGGTGTGCGGGTCCCTCTCCTGCTTCATCCGAGAGCCTTAACCAGTAGAAGCTTCTTGGTTGTTGATGGGCCCCTCTGGGTTTTCAAGCGTGTCGGGGGCACTATGGGGGGAGGGGAGCTGGCCAGCTGCAAAACACTGGAAGGGTGCATTCTTCCATGGCAGACACATGCTTTGCATGGAGAAGTCTCCTGCTTCAGTCCGCAGATGCGTCTCCAGGTGAGGCTGGAGAAACTCATGCCTGCAGCCCTGGACAGCTGCAGCTTCCAGTCCAGGTCGACAATTCTGAATTGGGCAGACCTGGGGTCTTACTTCCCGTGTTTCCATTTAAATTATCACTCTAGTCACAACCATGAGAACTAGATTCTTGCCTTATTTTTGGAGAAAGTCCACTGCCCCTGCTTTGCATACTGAAAGAAGCAGGTTTGATCTCTGACACCTCCAGGCAGGACTAAGAATGACTCCCACCTGACATCCTGGGGAGTGTTGATAATCCTGGACACAATGGATCAAGCGGAATCCATCAGTCCTATTTCCCCAAAGCCAAGCTGGAGAAAATAAGCATTGGTGGCCCAAGAACCTAAGTATGAGGTGGAGCTCATAAGCTTGGAGCTCCGAAACACAGAAGCCCCCTTTGGATATGGATAGCATAGAAGGCAGCCCCTCACCTGCTCAGTTTTGGAGGAAAGACCAGATAGAAAATCATGAATAAATTGTGAGCAAATGTTTCATCAAACATATTTTCACATTTCTTTTGTCAGCAAAAGAAAACCACAGCAAATGTGTATACAATTTCTCTGGTGCTGGTGGGGGGGGGGGCTGCTTTTCCCTTTTCCGATGGAATGCCTCATTCTGTCACTCTCCCCCCAAACACAAGCCAGGAAGCTATTGGTAAAATATGGATGAAAGTGTGTGCGTGTGTGTGAGAGAGAGAGAGAGAGAGGACGTTAGACCTCCCGGCACTGGCTCCTGTCCTGGCCACTGTGGTGTAGCCAAGCTGGAGCTCGAGGGACGCAGTGCCTCAACTTCTTTGACTAGCAGGGATGCAGACATCACCTGCCACCCGCTCGGCTTCCCAGCAGTCCTCCCAGGAGTGGGAGGCAGAATTACTGTCCGGCTTGCCCTGTCGCAGTGCATCCTGGTCCTGAATGGGCAATTTAGGCCCCACTGATCTAGGTCACTTCCCTGTGGATGGACTACCCAGTCGTACACTGGAGACCCCCACCTCTCCTTCCGAAGCAAAGTATGCCCGGACTTTGTTTTTTTCCTGTGCACACAGGATAAGCATAGGATCGCACCCTGAGTTTCATGTTCTTAGCCCTGTGGGGCTAAAAGCTGGCAGATACCCGCCCACACCGTCGTTATGAGCTTTACAAAACCGACCTAAGCCAGTCTCCAGAAGTGTTTCCCTCTGCTTTTTTCTGCTGAGAAATCAAGCCTGCTCTCAAGCTCCAGGTGTGAATTTCTCACACAGTTCTGTGCAGAGGGAAGCACTGAAAATTTCTGCATGAAAAATCATCACTCAGAAAGGCACGGGGGGGGGGGTAAATATATTGGAAACGGGGGGGGGGAACACAAGCAAACAACACCCCCTCATCAACAAGGAGAACTCTGTCCTCACTAATTTAACCCTTCCTTTCCGCAAAACTTTCCAAAACACAGAAAAAAGTGGAGAAACAAGGAGAACTTGGATAAGATGCATGCGCGGGGCGGGGGGGGG